TGGTTTGAAGATAGTTCGGATATTGTGTTTGTTTAATATCCTGCCGATCCGGTCTGTTGTTCCTTTAACGAATGGAAGGAAGGCTAGTATCCTTTCGTCTGGTTGTGTGTCAGGGTTCGTTGTCTTGTTTGCATGTTTATTGATTACTTTAGTTATGTCTTTTTTGTCGTGTCCGTTTTTCTGTAAGGCTAGTTTTAGGTGGTTGAGTTCTGTCTGTAGATGTTCTTTGTCACAGATGGTGAAAGCTCTATGTACTAGTGAGTCGATTGCTGACTGTTTTTGTGCTGGGTGGATGGTGGTGCGATTCGGCAGGTACCTGTCTGTGTGTGTTGGTTTTCTGTACACTTGATGGCCTAGGGTACCGTCAGCTTTCTTAGAGACAAGAACATCTAGGAAGGGGAGTTTTCCGTTTTCCTCTATATCCATGGTGAAATGGATATTTGGGTGTTGTTTGTTGAGGAAAATAAGGAATTTACGGAGTTCTGCTCTGCCGTGTCTCCATATCACGAATGTGTCGTCTACATAGCGGAACCAAACTTCTGGCTTTTTCGGTGTTTTTCCGAGGGTCTCTTTCTCGAAGTGCTCCATGAAGATGTTGGCGATTACAGGAGAGATAGGAGAGCCCATCCTCTCCTTGCCGCTCCTGAAGTTTGTTCATAAAATTGGTTGTTGTAGGAGAAGTAAGTGGTTGTTAAGCAGTGCTCTATTAGTGGGATGAGGTCAGAGGGGACTTTGTGTGAGGCCTTTATTATGTTTAGTGTGTCTTTTATTGGGACTTGTGTGAAGAGGGATTCTACGTCGAAACTTACAAGCAGGTCTGTGGGATGTAGTTGGATCTTTTGGATCTTTCTTATGAAGTCCGTCGAGTTGGTGATGTGTGATTCAGTTTTTCCAGTGAGGGGTTGTAATGTTTGTGCTAGGAAGCGGGATAGGCTGTACGTCGGGGAGCGTATGGCGCTTACAATCGGTCTGAAGGGGATGTCCGGTTTGTGTACTTTTGGTAGTCCTACAGTCTTGGTGGGAGCGGGTTTGTAGATTTTAATGTCGATTTGGTTTTGCTGGGAATGTTGCTTTCCTCCACCAGGGTCTTGGTTTTTTGTGCGATTGTATTAGTCGGATCTTT